AAGAAAATATAATTCATTGTTAATTGGTAGATTATTATCTCCTGATTGTTTATTTTGTTTTAATTTTTTTAATTTAAAAAAAAACATAGGCAGCTAAAGGATTATAAGATTAGTATGTGTTTGGGAGGAAGCTTAGATTTTGAAATTGTTGGAGGACAAAAGTCTCAGCTCCCTAATTAAACTAGCCAAAGCCTTCAAAATAAAATGAAAATGAAAACACTAAAAGAAAATCTCGAATTGAAAAGGGATGCCAGGGGGGGGGGGGGGGGGGTTCTGACACTAAAGTAGATGGGGGAGGAGAAGAAGAAGATGATGAAGAAGAATATAGAAAGAAGGAAGAGGAGGAAAAGAAGAAGAAGAAGAAAAAGAAGAGGAGGAGGAGGAGGAGGAGGAGGAGGAGGAGGAGGAGGAGGAGGAGGAAGAGGAGGAAGAGGAGGAGGAGGAGGAGGAGGAAGAGGAAGAGGAAGAGGAAGAGGAAGAGGAAGAAGAAGAAGAAGAAGAAGAAGAAGGGGAAGAAGAAGCTTGATTACTACTAAACAGTACCATTTGACTTTTGCTATCACATTGTGAAGGATCAATCAAAATTGTTATTCTATTATATTATTTTTTTGTTTTTTTGTTATTTTCTGTCAACTAAAAACCATTTTACTGAATTTGTCTTTTTGTATGAATGTACATGTTTTCTTGTGTAGGGCCTACCCATATACCATGCTAACTGTACACCATAAATTCCATAAATTGTTAAATAGACAATAAATATGAACTACTGATCCTCATATCTGATTTTATAGTTTCCCGAGGGCAACTTTTAATATTATGAAAATAAAACAAAGAATATTTTCTCCTACTATTAAAACAATGTTTCCCTTGTTTTTCTCTGTACATACTCACAAGTAATCTGCAATTCAAGATAACATTTAAATGTGAATGGTACTATATATTTTTTTCTAACATATCTCTCTCTCCCTCTTGACAAAAACACACTCTCTCTCCTTCGTAACATACTGAAACTCATAGACAGTTTTGTTTACACTGTGAACAAAACATGTTTTACTCCTTTATGTTTCTAACAAATAATATGCAATTTAACTACTATCAAATTCATGTTAAAATGTGAAAATCTTTTTCCAACATCTCTTTCTTTACACGAACACACTCTCTCTTTCACAGTGTATTGAAACTCATCGACACTGAACAAAACATAGATTCCTCCTTTATGTTTCAAACAAATAATAAACAATTCAACTACATGTACTTTCAAAATAACGTTAAAATGTGAATAGTAATACAATCTTTTCTAACATCTCTCCCTTTACACATGGTTTCAAACACACGTTACACACCCTCTCCATCACAATGCGTTACAAATCATTGAAACATTCCACACAAGTAATACACTGTATGCAACACAAGTATGCAATTCAACTACCAGCAACTACTTTTAAATTCATGAGAAATTACTACAATCATTTTCTGACATCTCTCCCTTTCCACAAACATACACTCTCCTTCACATCATATTTATATTGCAACTCTTTGACATTGTGAACAAAAACATGAAGAAATAGAAAATTACAATAATTGTTAACATTTATTATTAAATTTTCATTTACAATACTATTTACATCACTTGAAAATGAGATAAAAAGGGTGAAAAGGGAGAAAAAAATAACATGCTACTTAACCATGATACAAATTGTGCAGAATTGTTTGGTTTGAATTGTTTTGAATAAAAAGTCACCTTTTAACTCTGGGTCAACTTATTAAATAATTTTTTTTTTGGTTTTGTAATCTTTAAAGAAATGGACCAAGCTCATCCTCTCAGTAATATCAAACTATTTAAACATCTCATTGATAAATAATAATAATACCGTAATAAAAATAATAGTTTATTGCAGGGACGCTCATGGCGCTAGCTCAGCAATAGTTCTTTGATACAGGTAAAGTAAATAGTTTTGCAATATTTATATAACCAATTTTGATGATGGACTCTTTTGAAAAAAATGCATACAGCCGCAGCAAGCACTTAAGAAAACATTTTGAAAGTACTGGACCATAAGCAGTTTTACCAAAGAGAATAAAATCCACAAGATGTACATAATATACGTAACATAAAGTCATTAAATATAAAACTCTTTTCTCATATCCTAGACCTATCTTGGATTTTCTACACGATCACAATAAATCTCAAAGAAGAGTAACAATAAATAATAAACTTATTCAATGAATACAAGAAACACTGACGGTAGGTTTAAAGGAAACCAAAACCTTCATACTAAGTTACTTTTATTGTAAAGTTTAAGATATTTGAAAAATATCAGTGAAAATTTGAACAAAATCGGGCAAGGAATAAGGAAGTAAGAGCTTTTTGAAATTACTACTCAATAGAGAGCGGTATTCAATTTGATGACATCATCTGTGGACAATTCTCCATGCCTTTTGTACATCAATTTCATGTACATGTATTTCCTTCTTTCTTGTGATTGAGATAATGTACTCCCCTGAAAGCAAGATATAGAATGCAAAATGATATTCTACTTCACATGTTATAAAGTCGGATCAAGAGCACAAATAAATACGAAGAAAACAACAAAATTGTGAAATTTTATGTACAAAAGGCATGGAGTTGTTCACAGATGATGTCATCAAATTGAATACCGCCCTCTAGTGACTAGTCATTTAAAAAAGCCCTAACTTTCTTATTCCTTGCCCGATTTTGTTCAAATTATTCAAATCTTTTAAACTTTACAATAAAAGTAACTTAGTATGAAGGTTTTGGTTTCCTTTAAGATAAGCTGGAGTTCTGGTAATGATAGAAAATAATTTCTCACATAATCCAATAAAACTTACACTGAATGTTCAAGGTTACAAATAAATGCCATATGCCAAACAATTTTGGTAGAACATATATAGGGGCTGAGTAATGAGCATAGAAAGATAAGGAAATTACCATAAGGTAAGTAGGCCCAACACCATGTGCTTAACACAAATGAGTTGTGGTTTTTACTGAAGATGATTGATTTTCAGCAAGTTTTTGTGAGATTATTTAACTGGTTCAAACAATCAATCTACTGCAGGATAATCAATCCAGAATGAATTGCTTTCTCTCCACATACGATGCTCATATATCAAAGCTCAAGATTAGCTTTTATACATGTACATACTGCCTTCATGTCTATGTAGTACATTACTTCCTTTTTCTCATGGTTCATTAATATACCCACTAGGCCTGTCCACATCAGCTCGAGTTTGCCAAATAACCCGCTATTTTAACTATGATCCCGATGATCCGATTGCAAATTAACCAGTTAATTTGCGTCTTCATGAGCCCGCAGTTGAGATTAGCGGGATTATTGGTCGAGAAAACATCCAGAGAAATCTTGGTCTTGTTTCCAAAATATCCCACTATTTGGGAAATACATGTAGCAGGCTTATTTGCGCCCGTCCGAGCTAGTTTGTGATGAGCATATCGGTCTGGCGAAGCATGGTTTTGAGGTTCGGGATAATATCCCGAGTCTGAAAATAGCGGGTAATTTGGCAAACTCGAACTGATGAAGACAGGCCTGTTTTCTTCATTAGCAGTCATTATCATTGGTCAAAGCAATAAGTAAACAGATTCTTAGTTCTGGTTAAAATTCATTAATGAATGAATAGAACATTCAACATATTTCATTTTCTAAAGCACTTAGATAAACAAATTTATATTTATTCTGTTCTTGCACTATTCCACTACAAATGAACATGTACCGGTACTTAAAATCAAGAGTCAGAGGAACAGTCTGCCCTGCATATAAAAATATATCTACATTCTTTATACCGGTAGTTCTTTTCAAGTTGGTAAAAGAAGTGTAAAGAAAATATTATATATTCTAAAGCACATGGATATGAGATGAAAATTTACTCTTTCGTGTGATAAACTGGATGCTATATCGATGGCTGGATAAAGTTTTCTTTGTATCTCTAGCTTTATTTTCAACTACAAATTTAACACATTTTGACAAAATTGATTTGTCCATGTTCTTGACTTTAAATGAATCACCATCAGATGTCCAACATAGAGGGAGACATTTTGATCTTTTTCAAAAGCATATTTCCATGTATTAATACCCGATTAAAAAACAAACAAATTCATATCAAGTTATACATTTCTTTTTTTTTATATACACAATTCCTATCACATCATTTTCAAGTTGTATAAAGCCTAAACATGAAACTTATCAGACTTACAATGCGATGCCTCATAAGTCATGATTACAAATGACATATTGTTCTCAAAAAATGATATTAATATTGCTATTTCTGAACTTTTATGTCTAATGTCCAATGAAGAAAGGGGATGATACCTGTATATTCTTTCATAACGTGAGAACCTATTGCTGATAAAAACTAAAATAAAGTGCTTCTGATATTGGACTGGATTACTTGCAAGTTACTGGTACATCAAGTACATCAAAAATACCTCTATGATTTCCAGTCTTGTCCATTGTCATCACTTAGCACTTTCTACAGAATTACTTCAATCCATACAAGATAAACAACAAATAAACAAACAAACAAACACAAAGGAAGCAATTTCTCAAAAATGCTTAAATTTGCATTTTGCAGGCAATTTCAGCCATTTTAACTGGAGATATTTGCCAAACATACATATAGGGAGAGAACTTTAATACTGGCAATAGGTGGCATGTTTCCTTTTTCATTACCCAAATAACAATAAATTCTCTTGAAACACTTTCACGTCCCCCCACCCCCCCCCCCCCCCCCCCCCCCCCCCCCCCCCCCAAAAAAAAAAAAAAAAAAAGGAAAAATGAAAAATGAAAACGAAAAATGAAGAAAAAAAATGGGAAAAAAAATTGGGAAAAAAAAAGTACCTGATCAAAGGGCATCTTCATAAAACATTTGAAATGTTATCATAGTCACATAATTTAGTTGCCAATTTTCTATTGACAAATGAAACATGATATCTATGAATGTTAAAACTTTAAAAAGATCAATACAAATTTGACTTTTAAGTAACCGTTTAATCTTGTAATTGTGCACATGAACAAAATTTACAAAAATGTGTTGGGGTTGTTGTGAACTGTGAATTCGACCCAGGTCAAATTCTGCATCATAAACATGGGAAGGCACACTTCATGAATATTCATCAAGACATTCAACTCAGAAGAGCAGGATAGTTTTACACAATAACATACATTGAATAGTCCTACAGGGTGTATGAAAACAATTTTGAGAACAAATTCAACTGTCCTCTTCAAACTGGTGGGATTTACGTTATACTTTACATGAAATGAAACTGAAACTGATGAATAAATAAGTAATAACATGAACAAGTGCCAATCTTAGAAACACTCCTGTACTCATTTTGTATTTGACTACAGGTACATGCTTGTGTAAATTTCAAATAAATGTATGACATTCTTGACTCCTGACCTATGACCTACAATGCCCATTGTGTTGCTAATATGGATTGAGAATTTGAGATAAAGAGGAGATTGTTTAAAAATGCTGAAATGATAAGGCGAAGTCTAGCGTTCATACCAAGTAGTTTTTTCCATTTAAGTTAAAGGAAACCTCACCCCACAGAATAAGTATAGGTATTCTGAAAATGAGATGTATTCATGCCGTATGGTGCTATATTATTAACAATATCAGCTTTCAAGTAATACTTCTGCAAAAAGGTGTATAGATCAAATTGACTATTGGTGGTAACAGCATAAATAATGAATGATAATGTCTAGCAGTTGATACTTCTTTGCTCTTCATTGCAGTACCGCTGTACTGGTACTTTCCATTAACTACTACCTACCGAAAGATTATAGGGAAGATATCATTTATTTTTAAAATAATAAGTCAGCCACTTGAAATGAAATGTTGGCACTAAATAAATAAATAAATGTACACTGTATAAACTCGGAAGGATAAGATTTAGCTTCACTGGAAGGGCTACATGTACATGGCATTCATGTCTACAATGCATCATAGTAGATCATGAATTAACAACTCTGATTGACACTTACTCAAGGACTATAACTCCATCATCATCTTCCCTATAGCTTCCTTTTGGGCCATTCGACTGCTTGCTAAATGTCTTTTGGGAGAAGTTCTTACGCCCGAGGGGAAGAGCCACTGGTCTTTTCGTAGTTGCAATGGTTGCAGCATTAGAGTTCCTTTTTGGTGGGATGATAGTTCTTTTCACCGCATTACCATTGGTGTGTACATGTACCCTATTGGGATGCACTGGACCTGGATGTGTACCTGGCTTTGTGATCGTCGTCGAGGGCGGTACGCTAAATTGAATTCTACGTGATGGAACACCTGGCTTTGTGGTCGTCGAGGGCGGTACGCTAAATTGCATTCTAGCTGATGGAACACCTGGCTTTGTGGTTGTTGAGGCGGGTACGTTCAATTGAATTCTATGTGTTGGAACACCTGGCTTTGTGGTCGTTGAGGCGGGTACGTTCAATTGAATTCTACGTGATGGACCACCTGGCTTTGTGGTCGTCGAGGGCGGTACGTTCAATTGAATTATACGTGATGGACCGTTACACTTTGCTGTAGAAGAACTTGTAGAAGGTGAATTGAAATGCACTCTGGGTAATGCAGTTTGGTTGGGCAAAATTGCAGTACCCGAGGAACCTACACCTACACCTGAATTTACTCCTGTTCTTTTTATTAATGCTGTTTCTCCTTTTTTTGAATTTACCGGCACTTTTTCTGTTGTACCTAATACCACTCTGACTTCCTTTCTTGTATTATTACAGGATACTGTTTCTGGTTGCCTATGTTGAGAGGCAGGCAAGGGCTTGCTACCGGTGGTACACGGTTGCGATAGTATCTTCTTCCGAAGCATGGCTAAGCTACGACCGAGTTCACTTGGCGAGGGGACATTAACAGTGGTGGTTTCACATGGAGGCTTGAAGGAAACACCTGGTCTTACGGCTTCTGTTTTCACAATTGCCTGAGAAGAATGCAAGATTTCTGTTGACTTAGACATAAGGGCTGATTTGACCTCTGTACTGCTTTGAGGTATTCCATTTACAGCTACAGATGTTCTCCCTGTTACTTGAGAATCATTGCTAGAGTTTTCAAGCTTGATCTTTTTTGCCTGAGGCGCATCATCACCACAAAGTGACTCATCTCCAAGCAGATGATTCTTAGATTCTCCTGTTTTGTTTTCGTTTGGATTGTTTGTGTCTTGACAGATTTCCATCTTTGTCACATCTGTCTCGGGACTCTTGGCCGCTGATGGCTCTGCAGATTGGCTTTCATCCGAGTCAGAAACATATTCTATCCAATCTCCTTCTTCAAGGTCATCCTCACTCCCATCTGGATCAACCTCTGGTTCACTAGTTCTATCAAACTCTGGTTCGACCCCCGGCACATGCAACTCTCTGGCCAGATGCATGTGCTTCTCCAGTTCCTTGTCCATCATCTCCTTACTCTTGACGTCATTCTCTTCCAACCTCGTCTTCAACTCTGCATCCTCAGTTGCAGGGTCGACTGGCGTATCGAGGAAGGACGCGTACCCAGGATTGAACATGTAGTCATTGATTCTACGTTTACTCAACAGCTCCCCTACATCCTTAAACACTTCAATAGCCAGCGGACGCAGATCAAGCTCATGGATGTCTAATTTCTTCACCCGATTAGTCTGCTTGATAACAGAGAACACATCATGAAAATCTGGAAATGTACCAAGCTTGACTAGTTTCCTGATTTTAAGGTTGATCTCGGGGTACCTCGTACCCCTATAATTAACTTTCTTTTCTACACCACGTCCATTTTTCGCCTCGTGGCCCTTCAGCTTACACCATTTCTGCCAGGCTTCTACAAATCTTTTTCTAAGTTTATGCTCAATCATATGAGACGAATCATCTCTACCCATTTCCTCCAGGCTCAGTTCTTTCTCACCGTATCTACGGATCTCTTTATCTAACCTTCCCATCAGTTTCTCCATTCTTCTGATATTTTTCTGCCGTTTTGCTTTATCTACATCGCCTTCTTCCTTTTCGCCACCTCTTTCTTTGCTACATGATGGTTTCTCTTGATCAGAACTTTGAGATGCTTTCTTTGCATCTTCAGGTCCTGCCACTTTCTTTCCAACCCCATTAGGGATGTCACTACAGCTAACACCTCCACTGGTAGATGCTACCTCTTTCTCTACATCTCCTGTTGGCATAGCATCATTCACATCCTTAGTCCCAGATACTTCAGATCTATCATGGCTGTCAAATATTGGCTCTGTCTTTATAGTCTTTACACCCGCTGTATGTGTCTCGATGCTCCCATTACTCACAATATTATCCCCATTCCTCTTTGCCTCTGAATCTGCCTTGCTACCTTTCGTCTTTTTTGGTTTCTTGGAAGCATTCTTGAGATGAATCAATACATCGCGAACCACCGAGAAGATGGTCTGGTCTTTGATATCCGGATTCTGAAGTTCTGCAAGATACAGCTGGATAGTATTTCTGAACTCCTCCGATGAGAGGTAGTCTTCTCTTGCAGCCTTGAACACTTTTACGAGATGCTTCTTGATCTTCTCTGCTCCCTTAGCTTTGATCTTTGTCAACTGGTCATTTGAGTAGGTTACAAACTGGAAAGTAAAAATCAGAAATAAACAAGTTTTAGAAGATGCTGAACCAATTCATCAGGATGGTTTACAAAACTTTACATCAGTGAAAATTCATCCTATGACACATCCCATAAGTATTTACCCGAGACAGTTTTCATTTCCAGGTACATGTCTGATTAAGATGTCTTTACAATAGGAAACAAAACTATCACAAATCTCACATGATCTAAAGGCCCACATATTTTTTCTCTCAGCTGCCATCTCTCGTAAACTGCAGGACAATGTCTCATAAAAAAAATGACAGCTAGCTGAACTTAAGATCAATGTCTTTGTTACTCCTCTAATATCATTATTTCTGAAAGATATGGATATTTTTTAGTATCATTTGCAATGTTTTACAGTCATTTTGTTGCGATTTAGTCTCAAGTCTAAAGCAACCCTGTAAATAGGGGCTTTGATCAGATCGGAGCGACACCAGGCCTTAAATTAATCGACGGCCATCGACGGCCAGGCCGTCGATGCCCCTATGACTGGCCGCGGTGCCCTCCCAAAAAAAGATATATTCACGGCCAAAAAGGCCGTGCCCTTTTTTTCAAACTGGCCGACGTGCCTTTTTTTCCAACTGGACGTGCCCTTTTTATTTTAAATTTGCGCACATAAAACCACCAATTGCGCCCATAATCATCTAAAACTAGACGGCAAGGCGCAAGTGTTTTCCGTGAAAATGCGCCCATAAATTATTAGAACAGTAAAAATACACGAATCACGAACAGTTTGCCGCCCACGAGCTCTCTTCTAGCTTCGTATTTTAGTGCTTTAATAAGGCGCAAGTGCCGTGAAAATGCGCCCTTTGTTATTATATAGGCAATGCGCTATCGCTAGCGCACGTACGTACGTACGTTCATATTATGCGATCGCATGATATGCATATGGTGCATGCTGTTGACGCACGCACGCGTACGTACGTACAAATCGAAGGCCAGGATCAAGAAAACAAATCGTCAAATGGAGAAATAAACAAGCATTCAAATAGTCATTAGAGATCTGTCGAGGTTTGTTTGTAGGCCTAGTTTATTATTTTATCTCAAATAGAATTTAGAATTATCTTATTAATAAGTTAAGAACACCTACGATGTTCTCGATCGTAGTTACTCTCATTTTGCCACCTGCCGACCACGCTTCAAAAAGCTACCCCGCCAGCTTCCCAAGACGAACGTTTCGAGTCCCGGTAAAATTCCGAGGGTGCATCGGTTTCGCTGGCAAACTTCCAGCCCGACAGCTTCCCACCAAAAGTGGCGAGAGTGTGTGTGCGAGGAACGATTTTGGTTTCGTGAATGCACGTTACGCAACTGAGCTGAGCGTGTCACTTTCAGCTGTCGAATGTCTATAAGGACATTTTTACATCTTATTTCATTAGTTAGGCCTATGTAGACCTTTCTATACAACAGTTAAAAAGATAATTTCTTCAAATTTGCTCCTACTACCGAGAGAGTGGCGGAAGGTTTGTGTGTGAGGTGCGATTTTGATTTGGAATACCCGGCCCGGTAAACTTGCCAATTAAGTCCTTCTGACTTTCGATGTTTGTGAAATTGACAATTTATTTATTCATTTGCTCATCAATATTTTTAGTTACTTTAAAATACTGTTTAATGTGCAAGTTTGATGTTCTTAATCAATCTTTCCTGTTCATATTGTTAAGATTAAAAAGTTATTAAATTGATCGTTCGATCTATTCACATTATGAAATTAACATTTGTAGACTCTCTTTGAACTTATGATTAGATAAGCGGCCTATCTGTTTTTGGAAAATTGCCCCTTGCTCTGGTAAATTCCCGTGGCAAAGGGCAACTTAAAAAAAAAATTGCCCCTTGCTCCTGGCTGCTAAATCTAAGGCTTGCGGGCCACCGCCTTGTTTGCAGGCGCGTAGCCAGAGTTTGGTGTTTGGGGGGGCACATACATGTAATCGATCGAGGTAAAAAAAAAGGGGTCTACAAAATTTCAACCGATCCTGGAAATTTTAGGGGGGGCACGTGCCCCCCGTGCCCCCCCCCCCTACGCGCCTGCTTGTTTGTATGTACCGTAGACCTCTATACATTCTGTGAAGAAGCTGGTGCTAAAAGTCATGGGAAATTGATCCTGCACAAGTTTCATAAAATACACATGACATCTAACAAAAATAGAATCAATTTTTTTGGCCTCATACTCGATGCCCTTTTTGTAAAATATTTTGGCCTCGATGCCCTTTTTGTAAAAATATTTTGGCCTTGGTGCCCTTAAAAATATGAGGTACTCGAGGCCAAACTGGCCTTGCCCTAAAAATGACGAAATTTAAGGCCTGCGACACCCTCGAACTTTATCAGTATAATTTTTTTTAATGCCGAAAATGTTCAAGTTTTGAGCTATCAAATGCTAAAAAACATGCATAGCTGGGATTATTTTGTCATTTGAAGTTGTTGTAGACCATGTTTGTCGATATTTAATTATGCCTTTCCATGACTTTGAAATTAATAATATTGGTCTCTAAGAGAAGAGGTGAAATATGCAAGCCGCCATCTTGGATTTTAAGGACAATGGAAAAAAAATGTATGCATACATTATAATCCACGGCATTAAAAAAAAATATATAAAAAATTCTGCCGATTTTCTTCTGATCATTTTTATTGATCGGCGATCAGAAATTATTGTCCGATCATATCTGATCGGCCAACGATCGGTTACAGGGTTAATACCATATAGGGCCATGCATCTCAGATTTAACATTGTTAAACGATGCCTTTAAGAATTACGATTGAGAGGCAGTTCGATCATCATAATGGGTAAGCCATAATTGTGTGCAGAGGCGTCCCTCTCGGGGGGCAGAGTGCCCCCCCCCCCCCACTTTTTCAAGCACCCAAAAAGTGCCTCTTTCACTTTTTAAGAAGTGCCCCTATTAATTTGTAAAATTGCCCCTTCCCCTTTTCAACTCCGATAAATGCCCCTTTTATTTGGACACGTGCCCCTTTTCCTTCGACAAGTTCACATTTTCCTTTATTACAAGTGCCCCTTTTTCATTCACATAAGTGCCCTTTTAATCTCTAGTAAGTGCCCCTAGTTAGGTACAAGAAGTGCCTCTTTTCACTTTTGATAAGTGCCCCATTCACCACTGATAATTGTCTTATTTAAATCTGAGAGGTACATGCCTTTTTTACTTTGACAAGTGCCCCTTTTCTTTTGTAAGAAGTGCCCTTTCCCCTTTTAATAACGACCCCCCATTTTAACTCGGATATTAGCGCACCTTATATTTTCACATGTGCCCTTTTCCTTTCTATTTCTAATAAGTGTCCCTTTTCCTAATGACAAGTTCCCCATTTAAAAAGAGCCCCTTCCCCTTCTCATAAGTGCCCCTTCTCTGGTAAATTACCCTTTTCACGTACGAGAAGTTCCTCCTTTTCACTTCAGATAGGTGTCCCCTTCACCTCCGATAAATGTCCCTTTAAAATCTGATCGGTGCCCATTTTCTTTTAACTAATGGTAGGGTGTCTGATCGCGCACCCAATGTTGTGTGCTAAAACCCTTCCCATAGAGATTGTACGCTTCCCTATGTGGTCTACGTGCATTGCGCGACCATCCAAAATTGGTCAATGATTTTATGAAAAAATTTGAAATTCAAACCTTTATAACAAATGATCCTGAAGGTGAAACTCAATAAATGAGGTGTCATATGAAAGAGCAGGTTTTTCTCCATATTCCCCATCGGGGGCCACCCCCAGAATTCTAAAAATATCTTGGTCAAAACAGCGATTGAAATGTTGTTTGCATCCTAGCTCCAAAATTTGCCACTTTCCTGAGCTGCCGCCCCGCGGCTTAAGCAGGGCTAGACGTAAGGATAATATCCAGATGCTTTTTTTTTCGCTAGCCCCAAGGGATCATTTGTTATAACAGTTTGAAAATACCCTTCCCACATTTTTGGAATCAGCTAATAAGGGAGGCGTGAGCTCCGCTCAGTCCAAACCATGGTTACATCGTAACATGTGCGCTTATAGTGAATGAAAGTATGGGTGGCCGATTCTCGCCATAGAACCCGGAAGTGAATACACGTTGTAGTCAATGGCAATATCGCGGAGATTGTCTCCGCGATATTGCCATTGACTACAACGTGTATTCACTTCCGGGTTCTATAGCGGGAACGGCCACCCATACTAGTCAATGGCACATATCGCGGAGACAGCGTGGCTCAAGCTTGCAAGTCGCGCATTGGCTGAGCAACTTGCGTACGATATGCATACGCTTGCATATCGCGCGATACAGCTGTTTGGCTAAATTTAGCAAAACAACATAACTCTGCGTGTACGTCTTTTTCGTCGATTCTGAGCAAAATGCTATGAATATTTCAGCATTTTGAAGGGGCTGTATCTTTTGATAGAAACATCGGCGAGACTTGAAATTTGAAATGTATTATTCTGATTACATTTTTAATTCAAATATCAAACAAAAATGGTGAAAAACGATCCCAAATTGAAAATTGAAAAATCGTTCAGACACCCTACTAATGGCACATTTTCCTTTATTACAAGTGCCCCTTTTTCATTCACATAAGTGCCCCTTTTCATCTCTGGTCATTGCCTCTTTTCACCTCTGATAATTTCCCTTTTAACAATATGTAATATCTTATAAATGCCCCTATCAAAATCTGCTCCGTCGACAAATGCCCATTTCCTATTCATGACCGACTTTTTTCATCCCTGGCGAGTGCCTCTTTTTGAGGGTGTAAGAAGTGCCCCATTTTCACCTCTGATAATTACTCTGGCACATGCTCCTTTTCTTTTCCGATGTCCCCCTTTTCCTCTCATCATTTAACGCGCCCTAGCTAATTTCAAGACCCCCTTTTAAAAAAAAGCCCCAATCTGTGCCGCATAAAAAAATAACGCTACCGGGCACAGCAGCAGCACAGCACAACAACGCGGGGACTCTTGCCATTGGTGCACGGTGAACTCTCATAGAGTTATACATGCCCCACATACGCAATTCTGTGTCTTCTTTGTTATCGACTCTTTGTTTTACCTCTGATAAAAATCCTAATTTCGAATCATAATACGGACAGTAACACCTTACCTCATCAAATAAAGATTTATAATCGATCTGCGCAGTATTTGTTGTACTTTCCTGGGCTGGTTCCTCATCACTGTCAATTATAAGGAACACCTCTTCTTCCGTTTCGTCTGGTGCTTTGTTACTGTTAGTCGCCGCCATTTTTGGGGTAGACTACACTACACACTACTATACACTATACACTACATATTGTGTAAGTGTCAAACTGCTGGTACCAAACTCCGGAAGTTGTGAATTCGAATGCTTTTAATATTAATATGCTGCGCATATATATATAATGCTGCGTCAGAAATCGAGCTATTTAATTAAAGGGCGTGGTCCGGGGGAGGGGGGCACCCGGCACAGTTCCCCACCCACTTTTTCAAGTACCCCAAAGTGCCCCTTTCTGCTTCAGACAAGTGCGGGCCCCCTTGTTTCTTTCTAACAAGTGCCCCTTCCCGTTTCTCATGAGTGCCGGATGAGTGCCCCCTTTCCAGCTTCTGATAAGTGCCCATAAATTATATTACCTCATCAAGTATCAAGTATCAATTAAAATCTGATAGGTTTCCCTTAATTTTACTTTGACAACTTGCCCCTGATCCTTTAATATTATTGTAATAAATGCCCAAATACCCCCAATTGTGTTTGATCATGCACCTCTGATGAGTGTTGCTGTGCAGGGACTATATATCTCAAGACTATTTAAAGCTTATCTGCCATAGGTTACAGGAGGGATTAGAGCGCCCTGCAAGGTCACTGGACAGGTGGCTATCTCATCGACTCAGCTCTCAGTTAACATAAGAAAAAGAGGATCATGGGGGACCAATGGTCACCGATTAGGCATTGTTTGTTATATAGAGGGCACAAGTAGCTACAAGTAGTGCAGTACAGTGGGCCTTTAAGGGAGGGCCGGGCTGGAATTCCGCGTCACTTATGGCCTTTATTAATTGGCAAGACATTATTCTACATTTGCCATACTCGACCCAGGTAAAGTATATAGTGAATCGGTACCTGCTAGGTAGAATTCCGGTTGACGGAGCTCATGCCAGGGGGGGGGGGGGGGAGGTTGTAATTACGTTCCTTTGAAAGCTCATAAAGCGGTTAAATCGTAACGTGATATGCGCTTCACAAGAACGGCATATTTACTATTATCATTCAGGTGCGCGAGAAGTATATGTACCCCTTTTCCCCTGTAATAATTAAGTGTCCCTTTTACTTTGACACGTGCCCCATTTCCTTTCTAAAAAATATCCCTTTACCCCATATGTGCCTCTTTTCCTTTCATTTAAGCGCCCCTTCCCCTTACTAAGTGCCCCCTTTTCACCTCTGATAAGATTATCTCTGATATTCTGACCGGCCAACTTGTCCTTTTCCTTGGTAATAAAAGTTCCTTCCCACTCAATTGTATAAGTGCCCCCTTAAACCTCTAATGACTGGCCCCTTTTCACATGCAAAAAGTGCCTCATTCACCTGTATACGTACCCATTTACTTTGACACATGCCCCTTTCTCTTTTTATAAACTTCCTTTGTGCATTTCCCCCTTTTTATAAGTGCCTAATTTCATCTCGTATGACTGCGCACCATTTTAGGTATGAAAAGTGCCACTTTTCATGACGTGCTTGGTGCTACGACAAGATGTATTTATCACGCCTCATCTCCCCCAAAACAATCAAGATATCTCCCTAATTCAGACTTGAAAAGCCCATGCTTGCAACTTTGAAACATTTACAATTTTCTCATTTTTGTGTCCGATTTCATTCAAACTTTCATCAGCCTGCTTCTCTGATTTTTACTGCTTTCTTCTAGAATAGGGGGAAAGGGGGAAAGTTTTTTTTGCACAAAAAAAAGTGTTCCTTCCCACAACCTCTGAACGAAATATCTTACGACGTAATTTTCCGATTTTCGAGGCCAATTTGTTTTATTTTAAATTGCTCATCTGCCTTACAACCCCTGAGCTTCCGGGGGCTCTGTCCCCTGGATTTCACCTAGGGCCCAAAGTCAGGCACCTGGATGCTCATCTGAAGGTAATTTAATGCCTAAAAACCCCTGAGCTCCTGGGGCTCCGCCCGCTGGACCCCACACCAATTAGTGTCCTGCCAGTGTCACAATATAAAATCTGACCGTAATTGAATGCTTTAAACCTCTAAGTTTCCGGGGCTACGCCCCTTCGGCCTCATCAAAGGCCCTAAGGCGGGCCACTGCATGCTTGTCTGACCGTTATAAAATGCCTTAAACCCCTGAGCTTCTGAGGGCTCCGCCCCTGGACCCTACGCCAATTAGTGACCTACCAGTGTCACAAATAAGGTATAAAATATGCTCATCTGACGATAATTAAATGTATAAAGCCCCTGAGCTTCAGGGGGCTCCGCCCCCTGGACCCGACACCAATTTGTGTCCTGCCAGTGTCACAAATAAGGTATAAAAATATGCTCATCTGACGACAATTTAATGTATAAAACCCCTGAGCTTCTGGGGTCTCGGCCCCCTGGACCTCACGCCAATTAGTGTTCTGCCAGTGTCACAAAAAAGGTATCAAAATATGTTCATCTGACCGTAATTGAATGCCTAAGACCCCTTAGTTTCCGGGGCTCCGCCCTTCGACCCCACCAAAGGCCCTAAGGCGGGCCACTGCATGCATGTCTAACCGCTAAAAAAATGCCTAAAACCCCGAGCTTCTGGGGGCTCCTCCTCCTGGACCCCAAGCCAATTAGTGACCTGCCAGTGTCACAAATAAGGTATCATTATGCTCGTCTGACGTAATTAAATGCCTATTAAAAGCCTTGAGCCAGGGGCGGCCGAGTGACTTCCAAAGTGGGGGGGGGGGCACCAACAAAAAAGGGCACTTTCTGGAATATGCATTTACGAGCGAGCGAATTTTTTTAAAAAGATCTGTGAGGTCGCAGTGCGAAAAATTACATCTTATAAAGAGGAAAAAAGCCAATCGTGATGGGGTTATAGGCACATTCTCATAACGGAAGACTGAAAAGACCTTTGATAAGTAACATAATTATATCATCTTTAAATGCGAGCGAGCGCAGCGAGCGAACTTTGGGGGAAATTGCTCTTAGTCGCTTTAAATAAGGGGCACGTTTAATGATTACATGAAAAGGGGGCAATTATCGAAAGGGGATAAGACACTTATTAGAAAAGAAAAGGAGCACGTGTCAAAGTACAAAGGATAATTATAAGAGGTGAAAATGAGGCATTTTTTCACCTGAAAAGAGGCACTCACCAGTGATGAAAAAGAGGCGTTTACGAAAATGGGAAATAGGCATTTGTTGACGGAAAAGGGGCACCCATCAGATTTTGATAGGGTCATTTATAAGTAAAAGGGGCACGTATCATTATTAAAGGGGAATTACCAGAGGTGAAAAGGGACACTGACCAGATATAAAAAGGGGCACTTATGAAAATGTAAAAGGGGCACTTATTATAAAGGAAAATGTGCATTTGTTGAATGAGAAGGGGGCACTTATTAGAAAGGGAAAGGGGTAGTTATGAGAAGGGGAAGGAGCTCTCTCTTTTTAATGGGGGCACTTATCATAAGGAAAAGGGGCACTTATTAGAAAATAAAAGGGGCACATATTAAAATGAAAGGTGTGCTCATCCGAGTTTAAAAAAGGGGTAGTTATTAAAAGGAGAAGGGGCACTTTTTACAAAGGAAAAAAAGGGGCAGTTGTCAAAGTAAAAGGAGCATCTCTCAGTTTTGAATAGGGCAATTATCAGAGGTGAAGGGGGCACTTATCAAAAGTGAAAAGGGGCATTTCTCGTTCCTGAAAAGAGGCACTTACTAGAGATTAAAAATGGCACTTATTCAAGATAATTTCAAGATTTATGAGAATGGAAAAAGGACACTTATTGCAAAGGAAAATGGGAACATGTCGAAGGAAAAGGGGCACGTGTCAAAAATAAAAAGGGCACTCGTTAGAGGTGAAAAGGGGGAAGGGGCACGTTTACTAAGTAACAGTGGCACTTGTCAAAGTAAAAGGGGCACTTCTTACAAAATAAAAGGGGCACTTTTCTTATGTAAAAAGGGGCCCTTTTGGGGTATCTAAAAAATCTAACTAAAATCTAACCCCTGCCCCCCCCCCCCCCGGAGGGCCGCCTCTGCCTTGATTTTCCGGGGCTCTCCCCCTGAACCCAACAAATGACCCCAAGGCAGGCCCCAGGATGCTCATCTGACCGTAATCTATTGCCTAACACCCCTGGGCCTCCGGGGGCTCCGCCCCTGGACACCACGCCAATTCATGACCAGTGTCACAAATAAGGTATAAAAATATGCTCATCTGACGATAATTTAATGTATAAAACCCCTGAGCATCTGGGAGCTCCACCCCTTGACCCCCGCCGAGAAACGTTCAGCGGGGCTTGCATGTAAGAGTGGGGTGATGGGGATTTTTGTTTTTGTCTACCCCCCCCCCCCCCCCCCCAAAAAAAAAAAAAAAAAAAAAAAAATTGCCACTGCCGGTGTCCCCATTACGTATCAATTTTTGGCTCGCATATTATTTCCCTCCCCCCCCCCCTAAGAAATCCTAGATCCGCGCCTGCCTACAAGTTTAACTTGAATAATTGATAGCATAAATGAACAATTATTTGAGATGAAAGAAAGTAGATAATGAAAAAGTTAGGTCACTAGATGGCGCTAAACCAGTTTAATTCTAGAGCCCTTTACGAGCTCTCAGAGATTTCGAGTCTGAAGACTGCATACTGTTTTGTTAAAAGATGTCATCCTCCTAAAACAACGAGTTCTTGAGATTTTTCTTCTTCAAAATTCTACTTTTCAAATAGGCCTATGGGATAATGAGGCCCTATTCATAATATGATATATAATGTAGGTTTGTTCAAATATGGCGCCGAGGTAAACCGCCACAAAAACGCCCAACTCGGGTTTATTTTTAACGTGTAAATGAATGGCAACAAAGGACTTGCGTGTAAACAGAAATGTGAAGCGTATTACACTTTACTTCATCATAATTTTTTTTTAAGCCACAGTTTTGCCGCATCAAACAATCTCTTATTTGTTTTGATGTAATTATAATTATAGGCAAATTAAAAACACGTTAATAACGGGTGGGGGGGGGGGGGGTGATTTTTCAAATTTTCGAGGCCCTCCCCCCCCCCCCCCCCCACAAGAAAAAAAAAATTAGTGCTCACTACCCCTCCCCCCCCCCACACA